TATGCAAATTGTAAAGATCATTTTGATGCAAGCCATTGAACAGACAACCTTTTAGTGGCTTTTAATTGATGACAGTTACGACGAATGACTTCAGGCCAATCAAGAGAGTGCAGCAGACGAGGTGCTGTGTGATCAGGATTTTTGGCTGTCATAAATATTTCAACTTATGAACTTGTCATTTTTTCCCTTTCTCCATGTGCTTTGATACATTAATGCATGACTGTAGAGAGTGAATTTTATTTCCTGTATGACTAAGATGAGCTACCTGTCAGTATATCCATTCAGAAGTTGTCAAAATCTTACACGACTTTCAACCGAACTTGATGAAGCGAAAAGTAAGTAACATGAATTTGTCAAACTTTCATCATACATCTGCCTTGAAATGGTTACAGTAAAATGTTTTCCCATTATAATTTTACCAACAGAATATCCATTTTGTTATTGATATTTGAACACAAAAGAGAAATTTCAACATCCATGTTGTTTTTTTATTAAATGGTAAAGGTCAACAAGTATAAGGGAAATGATTCCATAAACTCTGTATCACTTTCATAATAAAATTTCATTTGATTAAATTGATGTTTAGAAACATTAAAATATTGTTTTACTCATAATGGAAACTTATGGTAAGACAAAACAATTTGATAAAATTTGTTTTTAAACATAACTTTGCACTCATGACTCACCCGTGACTATATCAACTTCATGTCGTTGCTATATGGCTGAAATAATGCCGATGCGATGTTTAATTTTAACTTACTCACTCAACATAAAATTTGAATCAGGTGGATCTAAACATTTCATTTATCAGAGCATTAACTGAATTGTTAGTTAAACACCACATGGGTGAATATTTATGTGATTGATAAAGGTTTTCGAGTTGGTCCAATATGAACTGTATATTTGCCCCAGGATGTACATCTCATGACGTGAGAGGCCAAAGAGCGAGATGCACATGCCAAAGACACAGGGAACATATTTCACGTGGATTACAGAAACGACTTACAGTGTTCTCACACTTAAGCATAGTGTACAAGAATATCTTTTTAAATACAGTTATCGCTTAGACATTTTAGGTGCCATTGTTCTATTAATGTTGGCCATGCTTCAAGCAGGTTAGTCCATGGGAACATGATTTCTAATGCAGAGTATTTCAACGATTAGACAACAGGTCTGAGTGAACGAATAATTTCCATAAAACCGAGACAATTAAGAAAACAGTGATTAGCAGTAATATCAGTAATACACAATATTAATGTCATGTGGAGGGTTACACCAATTTCACCAGTTACTGATGGTATGGAGAGCTACCATTAAGATACCATAACGAAATCTGCCAGAACAATGTTGATACTGTCATATTTCATGAATATGGATACAGCAACTACCAAATATCAGAACTGCATACTTTGAATACATGACTTATCAATCACAATTCTTGGCAAAAAATAATTAGATCAACTTGACATTGAATAATTTATGAATGCATAAAAATACAGTCATCAGATTTCGTTTACATATTTCAGAAATAATATAATAATATTGAAATTATAGGTGAATGATACTAAATTTTAAGAAAACATTAAAATATTCAACATCATTCAAGGTTGAGCTATTTATCATCCAAAAGAATTCCAGCTTTTTTCAGTTTGAAAACAGTAGTAATTAGTGTCTTGAGTGTAAAAAGTACAGCTAACCAGCCTCAGTGGCAGAGAGAGTAGTGATGTCATTTGATTGTGACAGCATGGTAACCAATGATGTCACAATGGTCTGCAAAGCAATGTGATGCAATTTTATGCAATATTTTATTACAGCCATATCTCCAATGGGAACCAGCTGTAGATGACAAAAATTATATTCTTCATGGTTATTTGCCTAACAGAAACATAAGCATAATGTCAGTAAAGGCATGTCTTCTTTCATGAGTCATCTTCATCAGAAATAGAACACCAATTCACGAATCACATGGGCCTAAATATGCACCTTGCACATATAAAGAAATGTAGCAATAACTGGCTTGGTCTAATTATTCAACACCATAAGAGACCATGAATTAATTCATAACAAAAAAATACATATAAATAAAGGGAAAATTTGTTTCAGTGGTGTTAGAATGAACTCTAAATACTGCATACTTTGGAAGGTTATTAATTAACTTGAGGTCTCCAATGATTACATTGTTTAATTCCCCTCAGTTTACCGAACATGTATTTGTAGATCTCTCGTTGTTTCTTGCACAGCTGCATAAAACACAAACGTCAGTTCTTGTGTTTAACTCATCATGAGATCCTGATCGTACTATACAACAAGCAAAAACGATTGATGTAGTTCCACAAAAAGAACTGCTGTCCAAAATGACACTGAAAGTACTGATACTAAAAAGCTGGAACATGTCTGTATGAAACCGACCAGGGTGACAATCCTATCATGAGCCAATATTCAGCCCCTTAGCTTTAATACATCCATCTACCTCAGCACACTAACACATAGTAGTTTACCTACATACATCTACAATATTTAGTGGGAGCTTGACTTCAGGATGGATTTATGACTGGTTTCATCTTCTGGCAGCCTGAAATAGCATCAACATCAGTAGCGGAGGAGGCACGAACAGCAGTTGGTGTGTGGGTCCCTCGCCTCGTTCTCCGAGGTGAGTCTCTGCCACGCTCGGCTATACTCTGGTGTTAACAGCTTGACACTCACCAGTTTTTATATCACACGTGGTAGTTATTATGCAGACTTAGCCAAAACCTTGTGGCTGCTAACATTCCATCTTCAAGACCATGCCGCTCATACAGTGTTACAGGGCGAAGCTGTAACAACATTCCACACTTTGCTACCCCTAGGATATACCAGACTACTGGCCATAGATGTTCATCATCACACACTGAAGCAGAAAATATATTCTGCATATCCTACAACGAGGAACATCACAGGTCCAAGCTATCTAATTAGTTTTCCAGATAAGGTAACAATGCCTGTTTGGAGAAGCTTGATGCTTAGCTCCATGGTTACTTACTAAAGGGGACAGTGAGCGAGTCTTGTGCCATACTCTGCAATATTCAAACCATACCATGGCATCCTGACTAGGATTAACCTGGATCAGGCAAACCAGCAGCCACCTCAATAACAGCCCAAACTCAGTCCCTGTGACCATTCAAGGAATGAGGGGACATGGGTGGCCCAGTAGTCTAAGGCCTTCAGTTATCTGTGCAGAGTTACGTCCCTTGGGCACACCAGAAGCCTATGATAGTGGGTTCAAATCTATGTTCCCCTTGATTATGTTTCTAGGTTTGTCAGCACCATACCCTGCCCGTGGGTTTCACTGAGACCTGCATCACTTCAGGCTTTCCTCTCACAGTAAGCTGACAGGCATGATATAACCGGATGGCTTTTGAAGTCAGCGTAAAACCACTCATTCATGATCCTAGTCACTGGTTTGTCTGGTCCAAACTCAAATATTTACATGATGTAGCTGGAATATTGTTGGCTGAGGATTTAAACAACATTCACTGGCTCACAGTATCATCCAGATTGGTTGGTTGGTTGGTTTGTTGTTTTACGCAGCATTCAGCAATATTCCAGCTATATGACGGCGGTCTGTAAATAATCGAGTCTTGACCAGACAATCCAGTGACTAATATCATGAGCATCGATCCACGTCATTGGGATCGATGACATGCATCAACCAAGTCAGCGAGCCTGACCACCCGATCCCGTAAGTCGCCTTTTACCGCAAGCATGGGTTGCTGAAGACCTATTCTACCCCGGATCTTCATGGGTCTCCAGATCCAGATCATCCAGATCATACCTGTACCCGACTGGCTGCTATCAACTGCTATCCATCCATCATCAAGGACCAGTTTAATATATAGTGAACCAGCTCAATGCCCCTATGCTAATCTGTAATGATTCAGCTGTTAAATTGTCAAGGGACTAAAGGATACAGGTCTTTTGTCACTCAGTAATTTCATATCAATCTCTATGGTGACAACAGAAATATGCAAGGGTTAAAAATGTAAAAGATTTACTAACATTTGAAAGAGTAACACTGCTGAAGCAATTACCATCACACAAAATGGCTGTTTCCAAGCCAGCCAATTGATTGCTAATACATGGCCTACTGTTATTACTACTGAGTACTATTACCATTATAAATTATGCACTGCTGTCATTTGTTTAGATCATTACTGGGCAATTTACTAAGTAAATAACTGGATCAAATGATGTAGAAAAACCAACTAAGTTCACTTTTAGTTTTATTATCTCATGCATAGGTTATCAAAGCCAATTTTGCAACTGTGTGTCATCTAGAACCCAATATGTGCTTTACCCTTACAACCACTGCAACCACTGTGCAACCACTGTGCAAACACTGCAACCACTGTGCAACCAATGATGGAAGTGATGCCTGCCAAAGTCTGTACTGCATAAGTGAATGAGTGAGAGTATGGCTTTACGCCGCTGTTAGCAATATTGCAGCAATATCACGGCGGGGGACACCAGAAATGGGCTTCACACATTGTACCCATGTTGGGAATCGAACCCGGGTCTTCGTCGTGACGAGCAGACGCTTTATCCACTAGACTACCCGACCGCCCCGTACTGCTTTAGACAAATCCTGACAAACCAGAGATCTTTGGTAACAATGGCCAACAACAGATCAGCCCTAACATTTACAGAACTGACAAAGTTACAATCATACCTGATATGTCCTTGTCACAAACATATTTCGTTATAATGGTAGTAAGAACGAGCACTTCAGCAACCCATGCTTTCCGTAAAAGGCGACTATGCTTGTCGTAGGAGGTGACATAGGGGATTGGGTGCTCAGGCTCGCTGACTTGGTTGATGCACGTCATCGATGAATCGATGCTCATGATGTCAATCACTGGATTGTCTGGTCCAGACTCGATTATTTACAGACTGCCGTCATATAGCTGGAATATTGCTGAGTGCGGCGTTAAACAACAAACAAACAAGAACGAGCAATGCCTCACCTGATAATGTTGTGTTGGATTCCGCATCCACAACCTGTTTGGGCATCAGAGGTACTCTCTCTTTCGCCTCGTCCTGTATATCGTCTTCATCTGTAACCATGTGCTGTAGGGGCGGCGGCGGTTTGTCATCAAAGTTGAGGTCTTTCTGTGAGTCCAATGAGGGGCGGGGCGAGGGGCGACTCTCAATCGACTCTTTGCGAGTGATTGGAGCGGAAATGCTGGGCCGTTTAGAGCCAATGCATGCCAAGGCTGCAGTTTCGGAGTCTGCATCGTCTTCGTCAAAGTCGACACCATCAAGCAAGTCGATGTTCTCCTTGTTGCAGCGCCGGACCTTGTGGCGGATGAAGCGCAGGATATCCCGGAGAGGGAAGTTGGCCTGGCAGTCTCCGCACACCAGCAGGTCATTCTCCTGTTCCACTGCAACACAGAAACAAACACATCCTCAGTATAAACTCAGAAACATACACATCAGCAACACAGCAATACTGAAAACAAGATAACATAATATACGGAAGTCAAACTGTAATTCCCCAATAACATAAAAAACTCAATAACAAGTAAGCAACAATTCAATATCCGGAAAAATATTCATGGAGTATGCGTTTCTTTACACTTGTACAAGGTTCCTGCAAACATGGCTTGTTACAACCATATCAAACTTTCCACTATTTTAAAACCCGGGCACAAAAATATGCTCAGTTCCTTTAGTTGACACTCCTTTCTAACCTCAACATCCTACACCCCTGAACATGGAGCATTTTACATCCTACACCCAGTGTTTGAAATAAATATAATTGTCAGGCTGACATCAGGACCCACATATTTTAGAAGCTGAAGGCCCTGATGCAACTCAAAAGTCCTTCATTTAAAAAAAACTGCAGCTTGTTATGACAAAAATAAAGACACATAATAAATTTACTGCAGGATTTTCGGACCCAACACGAAATCTAACTGCCACAGGCCTATGGTCAGGCGCTTATTTCGAACACGGCCTACACTTCCTCTACAAAGAGTATTTATTAGACATCCTTCCCAGTATACTGTTGTAAGACATGGTCTGAAAATAGTCAGCATTTTACCCACAATTAGAGAACATCAGTACAAATAGAACATAATTCCTCAAAATGTTTTCTAGTATATCCAGGATGAGACCCAATATTAGAAAACATCAGTACAAATAGAACATAATTCCTTGAAATGTTTTCTTGTATATTCAGGATGAGACCCAATATTAGAAAACATCAGTACAAATAGAACATAATTCCTTGAAATGTTTTACAGTATATTCAGGATGAGACCCAATATTAGAAAACATCAGTACAAATAGAACATAATTCCTTGAAATGGTTTACATTAAATTCAGGATGAAGCCAAAATAAAAATATACCTAAGTGTTCTAAGATGATAAAAAAACCTGTTCATATATGATACAGCATTTTATCTATTTACCTTGGGCTATTCGTGAAATGTGAGCCAATGTACCTATCATAGTGTGACACAGGTGACCATATCTCCTGTTCCAGTATCTGCCATCTCCAACACTAGGTATCCAGAACAGTGTCCATGTCAGGTCAAGCTACACTGTTGTCACTCGTTAAATATTGCCACAAACAATTAACCCTATCATCATCATCTCCTCAACACACAAATCACTGCTAACAAGTCTCAGTGAAGATCTTCTATCAACCACCAGTCTCTGCTGACCTCACATTAAATAGATATCCTCTGGGATAGGGAAGATTGATCACAATTGGTCAGTTTCAATCCACATCTCATATTCATAAACCAATGTCCACTGTGGTCGGAGCTACACTGACCATCTGCCTAAGAGAACTAACGTCCATTCGGGCTTCACAGTGTGGACAACACAATCATATTCAGTTTGGCTGACCTTAATTCTCCCCAACTGACCCTGAATGGTCAGGCCGGCCTGAGCGAGCGCAAGGGAGCGGGGCAGAGATGACTGACCGACATATCTGGTATCGGTTAGCCTCTATCTGGTTATCAGCCCAATCTTCTCCACCCTTGGACATAGGCTGATTAACATTTGACAGGGCCCAACCACTTTATTGGTTTTTAAAGCCTTTGCTTTAGCGCTGACCAATAGAATAGCCAGCTGGTGGCCAAATCGAACTGACCGATATACATTAAAAGGCCAGCATTTGCATGGGTCAGTGGCGAGGGAGGTAATGCTGTAGGGGCCGCTGCAGGTAGTGTATTCAGCTTATTGGATTAACTGTCATAAAAAAACCTGACATACTTAGTGACCAATGGTTTACTGGGGATATATCGGGTTTGCTCATGCTCAGGTCATAACCAAGTGTTGATGTGTTTCAAATGACAGCTGGACATCGAGCAGTTGTGTTGAAAGCTATAAATACTTCATATGGATAATAGGATTATTATTCCCTGACCCTCATACACTCTGAATATCAGATCAGATTTAGCATATAAAACACTGAATGGGACCATAGAAAAACAGCAGATTTCCTAGGAAAAGCTTCAGCCATGATTTGAGAATATCATGAAACTTGAAATTAACCTCTAACACTGAATTAACTTCTAAACATACATTAAGCTTCAAGACTGAATTAACCTCTAACACTGCATTTAGTTCCAACACTGAATTAAAGAATTTTCATTCGTTTGAAAATATGAGAGTTACGTAAATTCATTCTCTCATAATTTTCTGCATTTCAACATTTATAGATTTTTCAAAAATGTTTAACAAACAACACAAAAGTTCATCAAAATCAACGCAGGTTTTCAAAATATTGAGGCATTAGCCAAGCCAGCGGATCGGATGCAGTTGTCGAGTCAGCAACAAAGGTCACTACTGACACTGAACAACAAACAGCATCAAGTTCTTTTACGTTTCAGAACACCTGGATGTACCCGAGGTGAAACAATGGCCATTGCATTGTGGATCTAATTAGCTAATCAACAGTATGTTGAATAACAAGTAGTGCTGGTTTAAACTGAATGTCAAGCTCTTACAATGATGTAAATTATTGATGGCTTCTGTGTGTTGTCTCCATGTATCTCCCGTAACATCCTGTTTGCTTTCTTTAACTGCCCAATGACAACCAATATCCATGCTGATTCCACTCCCTTATATAGTTGATGCACTTATAGATCACCTTGTGTCACACGACTTACAATATGGTTCAGGATGTGTGATTGAATGCTAAGCTGCCAACTTTCCCAAATTACAATTAGTATTTTGTTACAATCCTCAGATGGGGGACACCAAAGCCTGATGATGCAGCCGTGTGATTCTGAAACTCAGCTGATATTTTATGGCGTAGTTTCTATTTCGACTACAGCAATGTCCGACAATAAGGGTGGAGTGACTCTAGTGGACAGATGCAACACTATAGACAGTATTCTAAGCACTCACAAGCAAGATGTGTCCATGTTCACAGCGACCGTTCATGTTCATGTTCATGAGTGTGTAAGCTAAATAATGACCTCTCTTTACTGCCTATGAACATTTAGTCCTTTGGATTTCTATGTACCCCAATATCAAACCAACTAATACATAGTTCTTAATCAGTTGATTATCAACCTTTCCGTAGACACCATTACACTTAGTCAAGAAGTACCCAGCAGCAGGCCATGGCTCCCTATAATAAAGGTGAGGTGTTGAGGTCATGACATGTATCATATCTCATCATAGTACATTTCAATGAAGACTTCGAGTAGTGTTAAAGCCTTGAGTTTCTCAAATTGTACCATATATGAACTCATCTTGAAGACTTGACAAGCAGAAACTTGAACCAGTAAACTACCCATCTGCATTTTAACAACAAACATAAAAACATTACAATCGCACATAAATTGTAAAGATGTTTAAGGGGAAGAGATCACTTTGATCCTTCTGTGTCAGCACATATTCATCTATTGAGATTCAGGACTTGACAAAAGAGTCAGTTCTAACCACATTCCATCCCCTATAGAAACATATCAATTAATAAGGTAGTAATGACTGCAATATATGGATCATGCTAAACCTATCTCACATACACCGTGGCAGCTTGGCAACTCGATTACCAACATTGAGGTAGATAATCTCCCACACCTGCTGAAGAATACGACCACATACTCCCAATAGCAATCTTCATTGGGCCGTTTGGAAGCCAGCCAATGGTCAGCATAATTCTGACCTATTTAATAAATAGGACTTACAGCGATGACCTAGTATACATAAAATGATGATATCCAAGTCTGGATCTCACTGCTCTGATTACTGTTCCCGTATGTGGAAGGGTGAGATCGATGACTAGTCATTGGGCCAGCATGCCTTCATTGTATTTACTAATCTAACTATTGATTGCCGTATTTCCCAATCAGTGAAACTAGTAATTACAGTGTCATTTTCTGCATGAGATATGACAGAGCTGGTATTAAAGGAGAAATAGCAAACATTAGGTGTTTTTTCCTACCAGATAATCAACACATTTCAGGGAAGTACATGTTATATTGATACATGTGTCACAGTCATTCACAGCAAATGTGACAGTATGTGACAAATGTCCATAGATTTCTTGCCAACAGAACAGGATATATTTATTTCAAATGTGTGGTTTTATAGTTGCATTTTTCTTAGTCTAACTGACCACATCTTCACTGCCAATGAAACATGTTTGCATTCACACTAATTGGAACATACGAAGGCTTTGAAAAACTGTAACATTACACCCCTAGTGTTCCTATAATATTAACTTTAGATATTTTAAAGAAAGATTTAAATTACTAAATTAAATAATTTTGAAACAGAAAAATCCTAGGTTCTGAGTATCATATAAATGTTTTTGACTTAAGGTTTATGTGAAACAAAAAAAGAAACATTGCATGGTTTAATTTTTTTTTTTTATCAGGAGCCCAAAGCTCTTTGCTCTTATTACCATTATGTCTAAGTAATATGCCTGTGTCAAGAAAGTTTACCTCTCACAGAAAACCAGTTTATTTTGAATCGGTAAACGGCCTAACCCTCTTTAAGAAAACCCCACTATCCTTAACAAATGGCCATAACTGTTAATCAATCCTGTCAATGTTGATAAGCAGTTAGCCTGATCCCTGTCTTCCTGGCCAGGCTCATCTACAGCCAGATAGACAGCAGCACATTGCCTTCTGCGTAGGTAGATGTTAAGACCTGTTGCCTACTGTGCCATGTGTTAGAGGTCTGTTTTCACTCTCTCTCATCTGACCACTCACTGGTCACTCACCTGTCAATCATTACAGACAGTTAGATGTTATTGCCAAACATGAGGAGTTTCCTCCAGCAGTTGACCTATTTCTGTTTGAGAGGAAAAACATGAGGCTATGATCCAGAACATGGAGGAATGTGATGAAGACTATTCCAGTTCCACAGCATTGTAACAAAAAGCAAATCTTGTGGAAAGTTAGAAATTCAT